CGTGGTGGCTAACACCTGTAATCCCAGCACTTTGGGAGGCCGAGGTGTGTGGCTCATGAGATCAGGAGTTCAAGACCATCCTGGCCAACATGGTGAAACCCCATCTCTACTAAAACTACAAAAATTAGTTGGGCGTGGGGGCACTGCCTGTAGCCCCAGCTACTTGGGGGGCTGAGGCAGGAGAATTGCTTGAACCAGGGAGTCGGAGGTTGCAGTGAGCTGAGATCACACCACTGTACTCCAGCCTGGGCAACAGAGCCAGACTCCTTCTCTAAATAAATAAAATAAAATAAAATAAAACATGAAAACAGTGTCTCATCCTCTCACATCAGCCACATCTCATGGCCCATGATGAGGTAATTCTTGGTGTGATTCTCCTTCTGGCTTTGTAGATGGGCACCAACAAGTTTGCCAGCCAGCAGGGCATGACGGCCTACGGTACCCGGCGCCACCTCTACGACCCCAAGCTGGGCACAGACCAGCCTCTGGACCAGGCGACCATCAGCCTGCAGATGGGCACCAACAAAGGAGCCAGCCAGGTGAGAGGGGCCCCCTGGGGCACACTGTCAAGGCCCAGGACCCGGGCTGCCCCATGGCCTGACCACACCACCCTTCGCAGGCCGGCATGACCGCACCAGGGACCAAGCGGCAGATCTTTGAGCCAGGGCTGGGCATGGAGCACTGCGACACGCTGAATGTCAGCCTGCAGATGGGCAGCAACAAGGGCGCCTCGCAGCGGGGCATGACAGTGTATGGGCTGCCTCGCCAGGTCTACGACCCCAAGTACTGCCTGACGCCCGAGTACCCTGAGCTGGGGGAGCCTGCCCACAACCACCACACACACAACTACTACAATTCCGCCTAGGGCCGCAGGCTTTCCCTGTCTTCCCCCGAGGGAGGCTGCTGCTGCTCTTGGCCGGACCCAGCCAGGCCCAGCCAACCCCCCAACTCCCTGCATGGCATCCTCCAGGCCCTGCAGAACTCAACCTCTACAGGGTTAGAGTTTGGGGAGAGCAGACTGGGGGGCCCATCGGGGGGAAGGGAACCCTCCACTCTGTAGTGCTACAGGGTCCAACCTAGAGCTGGGTGTCCCCAACAGCGCCCAAAGGACGCACTGAGCAAAGCTATTCCAGCTGTCCCCCCACTCCCTCACAAGTGGGTACCCCCAAGACCAGAAGCTCCCCCAGCGAAGCCCCCAGAGCGCAGGCTCAGCCTGCTCCCACCCCATTCCCACAGTGGGAGCAAACTGCACGCCCAGAGACCCAGCGGACACACACAGTTTGGTTTGCAACAACTGGCGTACTACGTGGATGTGACAGTGGCGTTTGTAACGCGAGCACTTTCTTTTTTTTCTATTTCACTGGAGCACAATAAATGGCTGTAAAATCTCCTGAGGCCTCAGGACTGCTCTGTTTTGGATATACTCCATTTCCCCCACACACATCTGCATAGACACACACACTCACACGCACCCTAAGACGCACATACATACATGCACCCAAAGACACACACCTCACTGTAGCCACTCAGCTAGACACAGGACAGGCACCCATCACACTCACATGCAGAGTCCACACACACACACGCCTCCTTTTACACACACAGAGATGCACACACATGCGGTACATATTCCCCACAACATGTAAAAAAGGCATAGCCAGCCGGGCACAGTGGCTTATGCCAGTAATCCTGGCACATTGGGAGGCTGAGGTAGGCAGATCACCTGAGGTCAGGAGTTTGAGACCAGACTGGCCAACATGGCAAAACCGCTTCTGCTAAAAACATAAAAATTAGCAGGGCAAGGCTGGGCATGGTGGCTCACGCCTATAATCCCAGCACTTTGGGTGGCCGAGGCGGGTGGATCACGAGGTCAATAGATCGAGACCATCCTGGTCAACAAGGTGAAACCCCGTCTCTACTAAAAATACAAAAAATAGCTGGGCATGGTGCGTGCCTGTAGTCCTAGCTACTCGGGAGGCTGAGGCAGGAGAATTGCTTGAACCCAGGAGGTGGAGGTTGTGGTGAGCCGAGATTGCGCCATTGCACTCCAGCCTGGGTAACAAAAGCGAAACTCGGTCTCAAAAAAAAAAAAAAAAAAATTAGCAGGGCATAGTGGTGTCTGTCTGTAGTCCTAGCTACTGGGGAGGCTGAGGTAGGAGAATCACTTGAGCTCTGGAGGTCTAAGATATAGTGAGCCAAGGTGGTGCCACTGCACTCCAGCCTGGGAAACAGAGGAAGATTCTGTCTCAAAAAAAAAAGCATAGCCAGAAAGCTAATTCATTCTCTCTCTCTCTGTCTCTCTGTCTCTCTGTCTCTCTCTCTCTCTCTCTCTCTCTCTCTCTCTCTCTCTCACACACACACACACACACACACACACACACACGAGACCCACACTTCTCTCCCAGAGGCTTGTGGATGGTGACAAAAAACCCAAGAACTGGGCCAGGCGTGGTGTCTCACACCTGTAATCTCACCACTTTGGGAGGCCAAGGTGGGCATATCACCTGAGGTCAGGAGTTCCAGACCAGCCTGATCAACGTGGAGAAACTCTGTCTCCACTAATAATACAAAATTGGCCAGGCATGGTGGCACATGCCTGTAGTCCCAGCTCCTCAGGAGGCTGAGGCAGGAGAAACGCTTGAACCCAGGAGGCCAAGTTTGTGATGAGCCAAGATTGTGCCATTGCACTCCAGCCTGGGCAAGAAGAGCGAAATTCCATTTCAAAAAAAAAAAAAAAAAAGTACTCTGTCCCTATACTGGGACAGGCTGGATGGCATATGAATCAGAGCGGCTGCCTGGGTGACCTCAGGCAATCAATTCCCCTCCCTAGACCTGTTTTCCCATCAAAATAATCTGGACAGTGAGCTCCATGTGGTCATAAAATTACACCCCCAGATGTGGGTGATGTTCTAAGCGTTTAATTGCTGGTGAAGATCAGGTACCGTTAGAGAAAGGATGACAAGTAGGGGGTCCTGGTGGCCCCTGTGGGCAGGGTGAACCCTTTAGCCCCAGACTGTGGGGAGGGGAAAGGGAACTGGGAGAGGGACAGTTCTGAGCCAGGGCAATGGCCCTTTGCCGACTGGCACAGGGTACCTACCATAGAGCATAGTTAATTCTGTGGGCCCCGCCCACTCTCAGACTTCTTGAGGCTGAGCCTGCCAATCCAGGACCCTAAAAGGCCTTGTCCAGGGCCCCAACCTCCTCATGTTTTAGAGGGGACCCTGTTTTCCCTGTGAGGAGAGAGAAGTCCCCAGTCATCAGGATTCCGCGGAGGAGAGGAGGCAGAGAAGCGAGGAGGGGGCACAGAGCTGTCTTCTCCCCAGGGAGGGCAGGGGTTGAGGCTGGAACGTGGGGGCCTGCGGAGACAGACACCAGAAGACCCGCGCAGAGATGCACGCAGCCCCTCGGGCCTCGTAAACCGGATTCCAGGCGCTCTTGGCCTGGCTACCGCGAGTCCCGCTCTCCCAGGGCAGCGCGAGGAAGCTATGCTGAGGAGGATCCGTGCCTGGCCCAGGGCCCTGCCTCTTCAGGAAAACAGCACCATATTAGCACTTAGCCTGTGAGGCTGGGGTGGGCGGGCGGCAGAGAAGGCCCAGGGTGCCAGAGGAATGAACCCCCTTTCTGCTACATCCCAGAGCGCCACCACCCTAAACTTAGGTGCCTATCCACCACTCTGCCTGTGTGTCCACTCCTGCCAGGGCTAGCGGATCACCAGTGAAGACATGGCAGAGAGGGCCCGGGGGTGCACAAACCCAGCAGCCCAGCCTGGCAGCCAGGGCTTCCGGGCCAGCTCAGTGTCTCCCCGGGCCTTTCACATTGGTCAGTGCCGTGGATGGGCCCCAGAGCTGCTCAAACCACGTCTGGCACTTCTTCCATCCTCAGCGTGGCTCCGGGAGGAAGGTGCCTCCATCCCCCGCACTGTAGTGATGAGGACTCTGAAGCACAGGTCATCTACCCACTGGGCTCACAAGGCCAGTGGAGGGTCTGGCACTGCCTCAGGCTGCTGTGGTCCTTGTCGCCCGTGCAACCAGCTGAGAAGACACGCAGCCCCCAGGCACTCCCCACTGGCTGAATCCTGCCCCCATGCCAGCCATCCGAGAACCCTCAGCAACCTTGGATAAAGTTCCCTTTCGTGGACTGTTTCTCTCCCCAGTGTCCCTCCTCCACCCACTACCTCCTAGATGGCCTGTGAGCTGTTCCCTCCGCCTGGACTCTGGGCTCCCAAGGAAGTCAGGCTGTCGGAGGTAGAGCCGGGCTTTCTGGATTCAAGTCCCACCTGTGCCACTTTCTGGCCATAGGGTCTTGGGCCAGTGACCTCCTTCACCTCTAGCCTCAGTTTCATCATCTTTGAACCTGGGGTTAGCTTGGCACCTGCCCCACAGGATGGCTGTCAGGACACTGGGGTGACACAGGCAAGCCCAGAGGTCAGCGTCTGGCTACAGGTGGCCCTACAGTGTCACCGCCTCCTGCCCCTCCCAGAAGCCTCCTCTGACCATTGTAAACACCTGGCCAGGTGTCTGCCTGCTCCACCACCTTGAATGCTTACTGACATTAAAACACTGTGTGATGCCGGGCGAGGTGGCTCACACCTGTAATCCCAGAACTTTGGGAGCCCAGGGCAGGTGGATCATGTCAGGAGATGGAGACCATCCTGATCAACTTGGTGAAACCCGGTCTCTACTAAACATACAAAAATTAGCTGGGTGTGGTGGTGTATGCCTGTAATCCCAGCTACTTGGAAGGCTGAGGCAGGAGAATTGCTTGACGGCTTGAACCAGGGAGCCGGAGGTTGCAGAGAGCTGAGATTGTGCCACTGCACTCCAGTTTGGCAACAGAACAAGACTCCGTCTCAGGGAAAACAAAAAATAAAAATGCTGGGTGGTTTGAAGGACTGATCACATGGGCAGCCAGGCCACTTCCCGAACGCTGGAGCCTCAGGTCCCCAGTCCATCTTCTGGCAACGAGGCAGACACAAAACCCAAGACATCATGGAGAGCAAGGAATGTGCACTGGCTGTTTTATTGAAGGGCTTATGATTGACAGCTGTCCCCATCCCAGCCCTTGCCTCCTCTGCAAAAGCAACTGAACATGAAACACAGCTTCCTGGTTATCATGGGGGTAGGGAAGCAGCTCCCTGTCAGGGCCCAGCCTGGGGACCTAGGGAACGGTGGCTTTGAATCCCAGGCCACGGGCACTAGAAGGTGGAGAAGGAGGGTGGGAAGTCCAGTTCAGATGGGCACAGTGCTGGTGAGGAGGCTGGAGAGGTTCCGTTCCAGCCTCTACTGGGCTTCCCCATCCAGGATATCAGGAAACAGTCCCCCACTTCCAGTGGGGGGAGCCACGGTGCCAAAGCTGGGGGGCCAGGGGTTGAAGAAGGGAACACAGCAAAGGCTTTTGGAGCCAAGTGAGGTCAGTTCAGGCCCCTCAGGCCCAGGAACCCCTGGACACCACCGTGTGCCTATGAACACACACTCACGGCCACCCCACAGTGACAAGTGCAGCCACACTCACACCCACAGCCACGCCACACCCACTCCCACACACAAAGAGGGCTGCCACAGTCCAGGACCCACACCCTGGACCTCTGGAATGTCTCTGGACCCGCGAGCAGCTGGGTCTACAGCAGGTGGGGCTGCCCAGGGGGCGGGTCCTCTGTGTTGCTACTGATTGGCTGCCTCGCAGGCGTCTATCCAATCGCTGTACACGTCCACAGGTTCTGACAGATCTGTGCCGCTTAAGTCAAGGGCCATCAGTTGCATTGGGCCCCTGCCCTGTACCTTCTCACCCCACATAAATCAGGAGGTGGCACCCGTTCCTCTGGATGGCCTTGGCCCTGCACTAGGGCCGACGGTTGGGCCAGAGGAGCAGGGTCTGGACTCCAACCCCTCCCCACCCTCTGGAAAAAACCCAGGTTTCCAAGGATACACGTTATGGGCGTCTGGAATTCCTCTAGGCACACAGTACAAGAGATGACTCCGGTATTGCGGGCACGGTCCCTGAAACAGACGAATAGAAGGGACTGGTTAGCAATGTGCCCTGAGCCTGTGGGTGATGACGCCTCCACCAAGGGAGGAGAGAGGCAGAATGGAGGACGGTGGGGAGAAGGGAGTGGGACGCCTGGGCACCCCATGAGGCAGGATTCCTTGCCCCATTCACCACTCACATTTTCACGTCACAAGACTTCTCGTGGTTGCAGAAGGGGCAGGTGAACTGGGTCTCAAGGGTGCCTGTCATCTTCTTTTTGGGAGGCGGCTTTCGTTTTGACTTTCTGCGACCCATGTCTGCAGGTGGATGAGCCTGTAGGGAGTGGCAGGTGTCAGTGGCTTGGGGAACCCATACAGTTCCCCAGCTCAATGCTCTAGAAAGCAGGCCGGGAAGAGGGTCTAGCAGCGGCCCAATGTGAAGGAGGGGCTTCCACCATGGTGCTGGGGCCTCTGCCCTTGAGGGATGAGGCCCGCAGTCCTGGTACAGGACAATCCCCCATCCCACTCTGGATGGAAGGGGTGATAGGAGGTTCTAACCCCATCTCTCTCACTTACTGCGTGACCTGGGCAGGTTATTTAAACTCTCTGTGCCATAGTTTCCTAGTCTATAAAATAGAGACAAGGCCAGGCATGGCGGCTCACACCTGTAATCCCAGCCAGCACTTTGGGAAGCCAAGGTGAGAGGATCACTTGATGCCAGGAGTTTGACACCAGCCTGGGCAACACAGTGAGGCCCCATCTCTTAAAAAAAAAAAATTTTAAATAAGCCAGGTGTGGTAGTGTACACCGTAGCCCCAGCCACTTGGGAGGCTGAGATGGGAAGATCACTTGAGCCCAGGAGGTCCAGGTTTCAGTGAGCTACCATCCAGGTATTGCACTCCAGCTTGGGCAACAGGGTGAAAACCTGTATCAAAGAAAAAAAAGAAAGAAAGAAAGAAAGAAAAAAATCGAAACAATGCTGCCATCTCAGAGGAGACTTGTGGGGCTGACACCAGGAATAGTAAGTTAAGTACTTAGCACAGAGCTGGCCCATCACTCTGGCACCAAAACAAGGAAGCCACTGTTCCTGGCAAGGATGGCACAAGAGACTCCAAGACAAGCCAGTTGTTCAGGACTGGGCACAGCCTAAGTGCCTAGGAGCTAGTGATTTAAAAAAAAATTTTTTTTGAGACAGTTTCGCTCTTGATGCCCAGGCTGGAGTGCAATGGCACAATCTCAGCCACCACAACCTCCCCTCCCGGATTCAAGTGATTCTCTTGCCTCAGCCTCCCAAGTAGCTGGGAGTACAGGCATGTACCACCACGCCCAGCTAATTTTGTATTTTTAGTAGAGATGGGTTTTCTCCATGTTGGTCAGGCCGGTCTCGAACTCCTGACCTCAGGTGATCTGCCTGCCTCAGCCTCCCTAAGTGTTTGGATTACAGGAGTGAGCCACTGCGCCTGGCTGAGACGGAGTCTCACTCTGTTGCCAGGCTGGACTGCAGTGGCACAATCTTGACTCACTGCAACCTCTGCCTCCCGGGTTCAAGTGATTCTCCTGCCTCCTGAGTAGCCGGGATTACAGGTGCGTGCCACCACGCCCAGAGCTGGTGATTTTATTCTGGTTGCTCCTCTTGTCAAGGGAAATGCAAGTGGCATCCAGGAGAAGTGACACTCAGGGCATCTGATAACCTCCATCCAGATGACAGACTGCAGGGCAGAGAGGTGGGGACAGGCACCTCCGAGTACAGGAAAACTGTGTGAAAGCTCAGGGGCAGGTGTCTGTCCCCTGGCAGGTGGGGGATGGAGGAGGGGCAGGTGGGAGGGTTCTGGGTGTTTGGATGGATCCTGGGAGCTACAAGGAGTGGAAAGGACAAAGTCACCTGTGCATTTGAGGGATTTAGGCACAGCCAGGACAGGGCTGTTGAGGTAGAGATGGCAGTGGGTGAGAGAGACAGAAGAGACATGGGCGGAACGAGCGAGTGTGACGAGAGGAGAGTCCAGGATGACTCCCAAGGTTGTGGTGGGGACACAATGGGTAGCGGGAGAAGCTGACAACATTCTCTGATGTCTAACACATAGGAAGGACAGGGTTTTGGAGAAAATGATGAGGTTGGGTGGCAGAGGGATATCTAGGAAGAGAAGTCCAGGAGGCAGGTGGGTGGGGAAACAGCAGTGGTTACCAATGAACCAACTGCCCTGCTAGGCACGGTGTTCAGGCACTGTGTTTGCCATCCCTGAGCCTCCTATGGTGGCGCCTCCTCCAAAACACACACACCCCACACATACACAACTGCTGGTTCTAGCATCATTCGTTTCTCCGTGACAGGGGAGGTCAGCAGCCTGCCAGGATCTTCCACAATAAACGGGAGTTTTATTCATTATCTGGTGATTGCTTCCTATGTAACATCCCCAGCTCTTAACTGTGATGCTGCCAATTCACTGAGTAAAGAAAAGCAATCCAAAGACAGCTCCTAGGACCAATTCATTCAGCTATTCACCTTTCCTCTTTATTTAAGAGATGAGGTCTCACTCTGTTGGACAAGATCAACAAAGCCAAGCTGGTCTCCAACTCCTAACTTCCAGGCTGGAGTGCAGTGGTGTGATCACAGCTTGCTGAAGCCTCAATCCTCTGGCCTCAGCCTGCTGGGTAGCTAGGACAACAAGCGTGCACCACCACGCCCGGCTTCGGCATGCCTCCTTTACTATGGAAGTATGTTTCTGCAAAAACAATTTGTTCACTCTGCCCTGGCTCCCATCCCCTTTTCTTTGAGCACCATCAAATTTTCCAGCTCTACCAGATCACTCACATGCTTGTTATTACCTCTCTCCTCATTTAAAAAGGGGGGAAAAAATCTCTTTATCCTCTTCCAGCTATGATCCATTCTCTGCAGGCTGTTTTATCGTAGAGCCATCTGCACTCCCTCCCATCTCTCTACACCCCTTGCCTCCAAACTGAGGTGGCTCCATACTGCCCATCCCAATGGCAGTCCTCCCATTCCAGGGGTCCCTCCTCCCACCTTTCTCACGTGCCTCTCAGGACCCCAAATGTTCCCTATCCCCTGCCTCACTGGTGGCTCCTGTTAATCTCCTATGCTCCTGCCTCTCTGCCAACTTGCTCTCATGAAGAGAGCACATGAGTTTGGGCCAGGTCCGGTGGCTCACATCTGTAATACCAGCACCTTGGGAGGCCAAGGTGAGCAGATCACTTGAGGTTAGGAGTTGGAGACCAGCCTGGCCAACATGGTGAAATCTCGTTCTGCTAAAAATACAAAAATTAGCTGGGTGTGGTGGTGAATGCCTGTAGTCCCAGCTACTCTGGAGGCTGAAGCAAGAGAATCACTTGAACCCAGAGGGCAGAGGTTGCAGTGAGCTGAGATCATGCCACTGCACTCCAGCCTGGGTGACAGTGAGATTCCAACTTTAAAAAAGAACAAACAAAAAAAGGTCAGCACAGTGGCTCAGGACTGTAATCCCAATACTTTGGGAGGCAGAGGCAGGTGGATCCCTTAAGGTCAGGAACTGGAGACCAGGCTGGTCAACATGGTGAAACCCCATTTCTACTGAAAATACAAAACTTGGCGGGGCACGGTGGCTCACACCTGTAATCCAAGCACTTTGAAGGCCAAGGTGGGCGGATCACATGAGGTCGAGAGTTCAAGACCAGCCTGACCACACGGTCTTTTAAAAAACAAACAAACAAAAATTAGCTGGGCATGGTGGCACATGCCTGTAATCCCAGCTACTAGAGAGACTGAGGCAGAAGAATCGCTTTAATCTGGGAGGTGGAGGTTGCAGTGAGCCAAGATCATGCCACTACACTCCAGCCTGGGCAACAGAGTGAGACTCCATCTCAAACACAAAACAAAACAAAAGGTTCATCGCAGTGGCTCATGCCTGCAATCCCAGCACTTTGGGAGGCTGAGGTGGGTGGATCACAAGGTCAGGAGTCCAGGACCAGCCTAATCAACATGATGAAACCCCATCTCTACTAAAAATACAAAAATTAGCCCGGTGTAGTGGTGCACGCCTGTAATCCCAGCTACTCAGGAGGCTGATGCAGGAGAATCCCTTGAACCCAGGAGGCAGAGGTTGCAGTGAGCCGAGATTGTGCCACTGCACTCCAGACTGGGTGACAGAGTGAGACTCCTCCATCTCAAAAAAAAAAAAAAGAGAGAGAGAATCCAGGAGTTGAATCGCTGAATCCTCTCCTCTCTGGCTATACTCACCTTCATGAAGATTTCTCCCAGTCTTAGGGCTTCATGCCTACTTTACACTGAGGATACTGGCTTCTCCAGCCTTGAGTCTGTCCCCTGATTTGCAGACTCTGATCTGTCTGCCTCAGCCACAGCTCCACCCTGATGTCTAACTTCCACCCAATATTAAACATAACATGTCCAAAACCAAGCCGCTGACACCGCAACGTGCTCTTCCACAGTCTTCCTCATCTCAGCTAACAGCAACTCCATCTTTCTGGATAATCAAATCAAAGACTTTGGATTCATCGTCAATCCCTTTCTCTCTCACACATCCCTTATGTGATCCTCCCCCTACCCCTCTATCTCTGAAATACAAATTAGCTGCAGCATCATGCCCAGCTAAGTTTTGTATTTTTTGGAGAGACAGGGAACCCATCGTGTTGACCAGGCTGGTCTGGAACTCACAGATTCAAGCGATCCTCCCACCTCGGCCTCCCAAAGTGCTGGCATTACAAGCATGAGCCACCGTGCCCGGCAATAACTATTATTGAATAACCCAATCAATCAGTCCCTGGAATCTGAATCTACAAAAAGCCGGATGTGGTGGCTCATGCCTGTAACTCTATCACTTTGGGAGGTGAGGACTGTAATCTCATCAATTTGGGAGGCCAGAGTGGGAAGATCACTTAAAGCCAGGAGTGGGAGACGAGCCTGAGCAACATAGTGAGGCCCCTCATCTCTACAAAATTACAAAAATTAGCCACGAGCCTGTAGTCCCAGCTACTCTCGGGAAGCTGAAGTGGGAAGCTTGGGCCCAGGAGGTCGAGGATGCAGTTAGCTATGATCGCGCCACTGTACTCCAGCCTGGGCGACACAGCAAGACTCTGTCTCAAGAAAAAAAAAGTCCAAATAAAATCTATGTATGAGCCCCAGAATCTCATTTTGCCCAGGGACTACAGTCCCCCCCACCCCATGAATGGGGTCTGGCTTGCATAAGGATTGCAGAGGCTTCGGCCTGTCCGGTGACAACGTTAAGTCCAAGCGCGCCAAAAGGGGATGGCAAAGAAGTCATCCTCGAATCTGCTGAGACCCAAGAGGTAGGGGGTTGGCTATTCCTACAGACTCACCGAGTCTTCGGCATCGCCTCCCGACGGCCGCCGGGAGGAGCCAGGCGCCCCGGTAGGTCGCTCTTGGAAGGATGGGGTCGGGGGGAGTCAGTCTCCCCGACCTGCCTCCCCACAAGCCCGGGGTCCCAGATGCCTCCTCCAGGACCCCGTAAACTCCCGGAGTAGAAGAACTCCCAGTCCTGCCCGGCCCCAACGCCCACCTGCACGATCAGCACCAGCACTCAGCTTGCCTCGCTGCAAAAGCTCCGTTTACCCGGGAGACAGTGACTTCCGACTTCTGCCGGAAGCGGAAACCCCTCTCCTCCTTTCAGGTCCCGCCCACCCCCGGCCGGGACTGCCCAGCAAATAGGCCCCGCCTTTGTCGCCGGGGCTCTGAGCGCACGCGTATTCAAATAGGAGCGAGCCGGTAGTCGTAGTACGCCTGCGCAAAAGCCGGAGCGTATTTATCTGTAGCTGCGTGCAAGGCAGGTTCTTCTGGTCAGTTCGCAGGAGCAAAAAGTGAGGAATATGAAATGTCCTTATGACCGAATCAGGGTGAAGGGGAAGCTTGTAAGGTTGTAAGACGCTCTACTTAAACTCTAACGAGCATCTATCTGCGGGCCTTTTTAAAATTCAGGTTCTGATCCAGCAGATGAAGAGGGAGGCCTGAGAGGCTACATTTCAAACTCGTTCCCAGGTGACTTCCACGCTGCTGGTCAGCAGACCACATTTTTAGTGCCCAGATTGTAATAGATGAGGTTGAATGGACAGGCTGGGACCAGATTCCATGGGGCCTCGTGGGCCGTGCTAAGGACGTTTATTGTTTATTATTTTTCCTGAAACGGGGTTTTGCTCTGTCACCAAGATGGATTACAGGTGCTTACCACCATGCCTAGCTAATTGTTGTATTTTTAGTAGAGATGGGGTTTCATCATGTTGTCCAGGCTGGTCTCGAACTCCTAAGTTATACATCCGCCTTGGCCTTCCAAATTTCTGGGATTACCACCACGCCCGACCTGAAGAACATATTTCAAGATGGGGGGGGTGGTGGTTAGCTGTGTCATGTGTCCCTGAGTTAAAATGAGGAAAAAGAATTGACAGTTGAATTTGGCAAGGTCTCTGGGGACCTTGATAAGAGCTGTTGCATTAGAGTGTTCAGGAAGATAATTTGTAATGAAATGTATTTCAAATACAGATGCTCCTTGACTTACGATGGGATTACATCCCGATAAAACTATCATAATAAAGTTGAAAAATCTTAAAACCGTCAAATCAAGGACTGTCTGTAGCGCGATCTCTAGGATGTCCCCTAGGGGGCAGTGATACCCTGGGAACTGTCAAGTGTAACCAGTATACCTGCCCTCCTGTGAGACCCTTTTTCAGTGCTGGCACGAACTAGAATCCACACAGGATGGAATCATACAGCTACCGTGCAACTTGCTGTTTCCACTTAACCGTCTATACACGTATACCTAACTCCCGTTTTTATTAGCTACACGATTCATAGTGCAACTTTGCCGTAGTATAAAATCAACTGTTATCCTACTGCTGGACAATTCCTGGACCTTCCTGAGTTTTGCCACTATGATGATGCAGTTAAAGTCTCTGGATCAAAATTCTTAGGACTGGGACTGGATCTTTAGTGAGGCATAGTTTTCAAAAAATGATACTTGTGGGTACAGTGTCTCACGCCTGTAATCCCAGCATTTTGGGAGGCCAAGGTGGGAGGATTGCTTGAGCCCACGAGTTTGAGGCTAGCCTGGGCAACATAGTGAAACCCTGTCTCTAAAAATAAAATAAAAATAAATGATGGCTTGGTGCGGTGGTTCACACTTGTAATCCCAGAACTTTGGGAGGCCGAGTTGGGTGGATCACCTGAGGTCAGGAGTTCAAGACCAGTCTGATCAACATGGTGAAACCCCCTCTCTACTAAAAATATAAAAATTAGCCTGGTGTGGTGGCACATGCCTGTAGTCCCAGCTACTTGGGAGGCTGAGACAGGAGAATTGCTTGAACCTGGTAGACAGAAGTTGCAGTGAGCTGAGATCGTACCATTGCACTCCAGCCTGGGCAGTAAGAGCAAAACTCTGTCTCAAAAAAAAAAAAAAAGACATTTCTGAGTCACAGGGTGTATATATCTTTCATTTTGTTTATGATTGCCATATAAGTTTTCTCTTTTTCTCTCCTTTTGTCCCTTCCCTCTCTTACTTCCCTCCTTCTGAGCTTTGTTACAATGTAATTCACTGAACACAAACTGATCATATTTAAACTATGCCTGGCTGAAATTGCATGTTTTGACATACAGGTATATCATTAAAACATGACCACAATCAAGACGATTATTTCCATCACCCTAAGACATTTCCTCTTACCAGTGGCCGAGCATGGTGACTCATACTTGCAATCCCAGCACTTTGGGAGGCCAAGGTGTGCGAATCACGCGAGGCCAGGAGTTTGAGACCAGCCTGGGCAACACGGTGAAAGCCCTTGTAGTCTCTACTACAAATACAAAAATTAGCGAGATGTGGTGATACATGCCTGTAGTCCCAGCTACTCCGGAGACTGAGGCAGGAGAATCACTTGAACCCAGGAGACGGAGGCTGCAGTGAGCTGAGATTGTGCCACTGCACTCCAGCCTGGGTGACAGATCAAGACTCCATCTTAAAAAAAGAAAAGAAATTTTCTCTTGCCCTTTCATGCTCTGTCCCCTACTCCTGCCCCTGGCCCTAACAGATTTGTTTTGGTTCCTATAACTTTGTCTTTTTCAGAAAGTCATATAAGCTGAATCATACAATGTGTAGCCTATTGAGAGGCTTCTTTCCCCAGCATGTGATGTTTGAAACTCACTCATGTTCCCAGCACTTTAGGAGTCCAAGATGAGTGGATCATTTGAGGTCAGGAGTTCAAGACCAACATGGCCAACATGGGGAAATCCTGTCCTTACTAAAAATACAAAAATTATGCGGGCATGGTGGCTCGCAAACTGTAATCCCAGCTACTCAGGAGGCTGAAGCAGAAGAATCGCTTGAACCCCGGAGGCAGAGGTTTCAGTGAGCCGAGATTGCACTGCTGCACTCCAGCCTGGGCGGCAGAGCCAGACTCCTTCTCAAAAAAACAAAACACGAAAACAAAAAAGAAACTCATGTTGTTGGCCATGTCAGTGGTTTCTTTTTTATTTCCTTTTGAGATGGGGTCTCACTATGTTACCCAGACTGGAGTGCAGTGGCACCATCATGGTTCACTGCAGCCTCAATTTCCCAAGCTCAAGCGATTCTCCCACGTCAGCTTCCCAAGTAGCTGCGATTACAACTGTGCGCCGCCACGCCCAGCTAATTTTTGTATTTTCACCAGGCTGGGCGCAGTGGCTCGTGCCTGCAATCCCATCACTTTGGGAGGCCAAGGCGGGTAGATCACCTGAGGTCAGGAGTTCAAGACCAACCTGGCCAATATAGTGAAACCCCATTTCTACTAAAAATACAAAAATTAGCCAGGTGTGGTGGTGAACACCTGTAATCTCAGCTACTCGAGAGGCTGAAGCAGGAAAATCCCTTGAACCTGGGAGGCGGAGGTTGCAGTGAGCTGAGATTGTGCCACTGCACTCCAGCCTGGGCAACAAGAGCAAAACTCTGTCTCAAAAGAAAAAAGAAAGACAAGGTTTGCCTTGTTGCCCAGGCTGTTCTCAAGCTCCTGGGCTCAAGCAATCCACCTGCCTTGGCTTGTCAAAGTGCTAGGATTATAGGCATGAGCCACCACACCCAGTTTTGTTTCTTTTTATTACTCAGTTGTATTCTGTTAAATGACTGTCTCACACTCTGTTAATCCTTTCACCTGTTAATGACTGGTTTTCGCATTGTTGCCAGTGTTGAGCAGTTATTACAGCTGCTACGAACCGTCTCTCATTTTGAGGGTGGCAGATGATGCCACCAAAATATGCCACTTTGGCATATGGATTGTTTTGAGCTAAGGGCACTTGAAAAATAGCAGGTGCCGAAAACCACTGTGATCTCCCTCTTTTCTTCTGGAAAATGAGATAAACCCCCACATGGAAGATGCCCTCCTCAAACCAGAAAGAAAATAAAATTCTTTTTTTTTTTTGAGACAGGGTCTTATCCCATTGCCCAGGCTGGAGGGAAGTGGTGTGATCTTGGCTCACTACAACCTCCACTTCCTAGTCTCAAATGATCCTCTCGCCTTGTCCCTGAGTAGCTGGGATCACAGGTATGCACTACCACACCCAGCTAACTTTTTGTATTTTTGGTAGAGACAGGGTTTCACCAAGTTGCCCAGGCTGGTCTCAAACTCCTGAGCTCAAGTGAACTACCTGCCTCTGCCTCCCAAAGTGCTGGGATTATGGGCATGAGCCACCATACCCAGCCCTAGGGTGGAAAATTCTTATCACGAGAAGACAGGGAGTGAAAGCTCAGGGAAAAAATAGACAAACAAATCTCCTTTTTTGTTTTTATTTTTTATTCATTTATTTTATTTTTTTGAATTTTTTTTCTCAACCCCCCAACCTGGCCACCTTCATAAACAACCTTGTTAAGCAAACACTTATTTTTCTGGTTATTTTTCCACCATTAAATGCTGCAGCCCAAACCCCTTTGTCTTGTCACATTTTCAAAATTTACTACCCTTTAAAAACTTTATGTATTTATTTATAATTTTTATTTTATTTATTTATGTATTTATGTAGAGACAGGATCTCACTCTGCTGCTCAGGCTGGAGCGCAGTGGCGCAGTCATAGCTAACTGCGGCCTCAAACTCCTGGGCTCAAGTGATCCTCCTGTCTCAGCCTCCTGAGTACCTGGGACTACAGGTGCATGCCATAATTTTATTTTTTGTTGTTTTAGAGATGGGGTCTCCCTGTGTTGTCCAGGCTGTTCTTGAACTCCTGGGCCCAAGCAGTCCTCCCATGTAGGTCTCCCAAAGTGTTGGGATTACAAGTGTGAGCCACCACGCCCATCCATAATTTATTACTGTTGTTTTTTTTTTTTTTGAGACAGAGTCTCTCTCTGTTGCCCAGGCTGGAGTGCAGTGGTGTGATCTCTGCTCACTGCAACCTCCGCCTCCTCGATTCAAGTGATTCTCCTGCCTCAGCCTCCCCAGTAGTTGGGATTACAGGCATATACCACCATGCCTAGCTAATTTTTGTATTTTTATTACAGACGGGATTTCTCCATGTTGGTCAGGCTGATCTCAAAGTCCTGACATCATGATCCACCCGCCTAGGCCTCCCAAAGTGCTGGGAGTACGGGCGTG